TTGTTTACCATAAAAATAAAAAGTGCTTAAATGACTTACACCACTACCATCCTAAACACAAATTCTTCCTCCTCTTCTTCATTATTTGCTATGTTTTGAGAAAACCCATGATGGACTGGAGTAGTGAACAGTAGGAGGTCAATCATATCCTGTTGCTTCTGCTCGCCTACAGGTCTCATTCTTGAGTAGAGTTTTTGCATGGGAACATTTTTCAACTGTACTGGCCTTCCCTTTCGTCCTGTTGTAGTGATATCTCTGATGTCGAACTGTACCATGTCTTGAATTGTCTCTTTATACTGAATGCTGTAGGTTTTAGACTTTTGATACCTTATCCATTGCACTTTTAGCCAGTTTACTGACATTTTCCTTGAATTTTTTTCCTATTTGCAATGTTTCTTTCTAGTGTGCTTGTTGAAAAGAATTCGTCATTGCTCATCTCACAAATAATAAATTTCTTTTTTTCCCAGTAAGTATTCATGATTTCTTTCCAGTCACTTGGTAGATAAATTGCTTTTCCCTTTGCAGCTAGTTCTACAGAACCAAAATCTGAATCATTCGGTAGGAATGAATGTCCAGAAACTAAAAACTTCTGATCGATTACTTCGATGTCTGTTGCATCTCTTTATAGAAATCTCGTTAGTGCTAAACCCATTTTAATGTTTCGGTTTTAACCAGTACAAGTATCAATGTAAATTATAACATGTTTCTTGTTTTGAGTATTTAGTTTGAGATGCTTTAAAGTACAGGGTGAAACTTCTTGAGAGCCTCTGGAAGCGATAGTTTCATCCCAGACATAAAATGCGCCAGCTTTTGTGTCGAAGTAATGCACTAACGAAATTATAGCAGTACATATTTAGCTTATAATAGGCATATAAAACAGATAACACTGGAAACGGCAAAGCTTTCTGTAGGTCAACACTACATACATAATTGGAGTTCATGGTCAGTGTTAAGTTAAGATAATTAATCCCTACTCAATTCAGAATTACTTATTTTTAACTTTTGAAACTTACTTATTTTTATTTTGAATATGTCATATTTTTTGCAAGTGACTTTTTTTTGAAATGTAGAAGTTAAATTTAAATTTGGTGTTGAAACATATCGATAAAAATGCTCCTTAACCGGTGATTTCTGCTCTTCCTAACACTTTTTCTCGTACAGTGAATACATTTTTCTACTATTTAAATTATCACTGAGGTACCTTCGGTGTTCACTTTTCTTCCTGGTATAGTGACTCTGGTAAGAGCGAAATGACTTGATATGTTTGCAGACATATTCTATATCGTCCTCAGAGGTTTTCCTTGCCAGGTAATTTACCTTTACATAGTTTTTTAGAGCTCGTGTAACACGACCATCTGACACGCAAAAAGTAGTGAGAAAATACTTTTTCACATTGCAATTAATATACCTTGATTTGTCTTCAAGTAGTATTTGTTTGCCCCACCCCTTAAAATACCACCCTCTTTACAGGTCCTTCTTTGCTTGATTTGAGTTCTTTGAATCAGTTAGCAAATATAAGTATTTTGCCGCTTAAAATCACCCAGTTCCCAGAAAGACTTAAACATAGATTGTCGTTCTCCGCTTGTTACCTTCCCGTGACAAGCCGTTTTCAACGACATGGGGTGTCTGAAAATGTTTTATTTGCTATTACTTGACCATTTAAATTCACATACCTCTCACCAGAATTCCTCTGTTTCTTAGCAATGCTTTTCTTATGACATTCTGACTTTCTGAGCCTTTTTTTAGTTTTTACTTTAGCTTGGGGACCGATAAACTCATTATTTTCAGCTGACTGATCATCTGATTCGGATGTAGTAGAAATGAATCTGTTTCTTCTTCCTACAAGGTTGAGGCTTTGTTCAAAAGGAGTAAGCCTGTTATCTTCATTGTAATCTGGATCTCTATCAACATCATCGGTTGATTCAATAGAGTTTGATTTAGTTGTTAAATGTCACCTGTTATAGGTTTTCAGTATAGGCCTACTTATGTTTTAGGTTATTTAAATTTCGTATGTTTTATAAAAATGCATTTTCACTTGGAATAACGGTATTGCTGTAAAAGTTACTTCTAACACAGGTCTAACCTCAAAATGTCAACAAGGATACTTTTATTACATTTCAGTTATAAAACAAGATTTTCTTCAATTTAAAAACAAATTACTGTGACAGAATATCAAATATGTTTGTTATATACCACCAATAATATGTAATAATTCATATAACACAAAATAACACTCATTGATCACTGAGCAATATAACCTTGTATGTAAACAAATTCATCATCTGACTTACACCACTGTCATTCAAAACACATTGGCAGTTTAGTGTAGGATGACAATGATATGTTGCTCCCAGTGGCCAGTGAGTGAACAATTGACTTACTTCACTCTCAAACTAAACAGGATAAAGCCATTCGGATAATAAATATTGTACCGTTTTTAAATAAATCGAGCGGTTCGAATTTATATAAATATATTTATTTATAACTTTACAGTTCGGTATTCTCTTATCAACTAAACTAACTCCTAAGATCGTTACATATATACCAAAGTTACTATGTTCTAGAACATTCCCACCTCTAATTCGCGTACGTGACTGTTTTTTTTGGAAACATCGAGTCGCTTTCGAGATGCATCCGCTATACGGGACACGCTGAATGCATGTTCGTAACACTGCTCCCCTCTTAGATCTGAGCGTCCCGATCAGGAACTCTATCTATAGGCCCAGGATGGCGGAACTGTCCAGCTCTGCATGAACCCCTCAGAAAGAAATAACAGTCTACTGTTTTTAAAGGACACGATCTCTTTGGATTAATGCAACACACAGTAATTCTTACACCGGTTTCTCGGAAGATCACTTCAAGCATGCTTCTGACAATCTTCCAATCCAGATTATCTAGTGCATGGCCTATCTTGGGTAAGGCCAAATTCTTAATGTCGTAATTGCAGACGATTTTCTTTAAATTAGTTAGAGCACACCATATATCCTCGTAGGTTGCCCTGTCTGTATACGACTTCCAGGTCACCATATACAGCAAAGATCGAGAACCATCTTCTAATCTCAGTACTCTTCCAACTTTAGGCTGCTGGTTTTTTAACTCGTCCAAGCGACCGAATTTCTTATAAAATAGGATGAGATTCCTTTAGTCATCTCAAGATCTTGGGCAACACAGTGGGCTAGAGTGACGTTATGCGGAACACTAAAAAGATCCTGCTGAACTTCTGTCATCACGCCGAATCTAGCACTCTTTCTCTCTGCGTAATCTGACATAAACTCATTAAAGCTTGGTCGTCGTTCATCTTTGATCTCATGTTGAAAGGTTCGGACTTTTTCGGTTTCATTTGAGCCAGCATAAGGTGCAAGACGATTTATGTGAACTACTTTTGGTTTACCTTTCGGCAACTTCTTAATTCGGTATATTACGTCATTTATTCTCTTTTTAATTTCATACGGACCCTTCCATTGTCTTTGCAGTTTAGGAGACAACCCACGACGACGTTGTGGATTATAAAGCCAAACAAGATCACCTACTTTATACCTTTCATTCTTGCATCGAGAATCGTATTGATTTTTCATTCTGTCACTGGCTAACTGGATGTGTTGTCGGGCAAGTTCATGAATGTTGTTCATTCTTAACTTTAGGCGGTCGACATAATCTTCGCTTACAACATGTTCTTCGGAAGGTCTGCAGCCAAAATCTAGGTCGCAGGGCAAACGAACTTCACGACCTAACATCAGGCAGGTTAGAGTCTGGCCTGTAGTTTCATTTACGGCCGAGCGGTAGGCCATTAGGAATAAATGAATGTGCTGGTCCCAATCTCTTTGATGTTCTGATACAACTTTGGACAGGTGTTTACCCATCGTTCGGTTCATCCTCTCGACCATTCCATCTGATTGAGGATGCAGGGGTGTCGTTCTGGTCTTATTGACACCAATCAATTTACAAACGTTTTGGAAAAGGTTTGACTCGAAGTTTCGCCCTTGGTCGGAGTGGATCTCCAAGGGAACACCAAATCGACTAAAGAATTCTTTAACAAGTACCTCTGCAACGGTAGCAGCTTCTTGATTTGGTATCGCAAGTTCAATAGTTTAAATAATTAGTCTCAGGGATAAACAAATTAAATAACTTTTAAACTATTTGACCGATCGGGGAGAAATTTTGCACAAATTTAAAGGACGGTAATTCCTCAATGTTTAAATGTACTTATAACATTTTATTTTGTTCATAAACAATTTAATAAAATTTATAACATACTGCAAAAAACTGCTTTTTTGCAAATATCTCCGTAAATTATTGATCAATTTGAATTGAAACAACAGGAAAACAAATATATTCTTGATATAAAAAAACGATATAAATATTGTTAAGGAAAAAAAGTTATAGACAAAAAATCAGATTGTGACCATAAATTATTGTTTAGAAAAAAAGGCAAGGTAAAAATAGGAGTATCTTTTCATCGATTCGTCATCTAGTCTTAAACCCACCTATGTCTTAAAAGCTTCAGATATCTGCGAAAAATTTTGCCGTAAATCGATGATTTTTGCATAACCAGACTGGGCTAATATGGCAGGTGATGAAGAAGAATAATTTTTATATCAATTTTTTGAAGAAAAAATAGTAGGTCCAAAAAAATGCTAATGCTAATAATAACAAAATTGTGGCATTGTAAATTAATTACTATTTAACTGGGAATAAGCCACAATTAAAGATTTATTATAATAAACGTATTTTTATCTTTAATTGTGGCTTATTCCCAGTTAAATAGTAATTAATAATACAATATATTGTTCATATTATAAATATTATAACCAATATTGTGCACCAATATATATAAATATTGTAATCAATTTCTACATTATTACGTATTTATTTGATTAGAGTAAATATTAAAGTTCAGGCTGTAATATTATTCATTATTTATTTATTGCCAGTACTCTTATTATATTAGTCTTAATCAGTTTTTGTAGACCAGTAACTTATAGTGTAATTTTTATTTTCAGTATGTTAATTTTGTTTTTTGTGCTTTCAACGTTAATAAATGCAGTCGTTTCAACGAATAATAATGATTGTCTTGAACATCAGTTTAGATGCACAAATTCAAAATGTATAGATTTTCAGCAAAGGTGTGATGGTTCCGATAATTGTGGGGATGGTTCGGATGAACTGGAGTGTGGTAAGTAAATGTAAAAATTTTTGTCTATTTCATTATTTTAATATTTTTTAATGTTAAGTCAACTGGTATTTCTTTTTTAGTGCTCCTCATGTGTACTATTTTACGATGATAAAAATTTACTAAATGTTATTGAATATGATCCTTTAGTATTCGAACTTCACCCATTTTTTTATAGGTCGGGATATTTTATTTCTATTTATTTTTAATTTAAATTTTTGTGGTGATCTTCTGTGAAAGTCTATTTCTCTCGCCAGTGGTTCGTTTTCAAAAATAAATAAAAAATATGCAGTTTTGATGCATTATATTAAATGTTATGTTAAAGTTTCATCTTTCTGTTTCAAGTTTCATTGAAAAACTATTAATTTTCTGCAAAAAATCTTATTGCTGCTTCTTCAATTTGTGCTGTTTACCTACCTTTCTGATTTCGAAGCACCACCAATTTTGTTTTTTTTTAACCCAGACTAAACAAATTTTGTATAACAATAAAACACTAAAAACATTAAAAATTTATTATAATATTTTATCACTAGAGTTGTTTCGGCAGAGTGCCATTCTCAATTGATCTATTTTTGGATGTGTTTCCAGTTTAAAGTCTTTAATGAAATAGGATGATGAAGGGAAAACTGTTTGTCTCAAGTTGGTTATTCAGAATTATGTCTTTGTTTTTTTATTAGTTAATTTCCATAGATTCTAATAAAGTTAGCTTAAGGCCTTTATTTTGGATGTAAAGAATTTGAAATTCATTAAAAAAATAATTATGTTCTAGAAGGTAAATCGCGTATGTAGAATATATTTGATGTCCTATTATTGAAAGCCCTTTTATGTTCTGCCATACGATTTTTAAAGGTTCTACCAGTTTGACCGATGTATGTTTTTGGGCAGTCGCCACAGTTAAGTTTGTGTACATCACCGTGTAAGTGCTTTTTATTTTGGCTATTGTTGTTTTTAATATATTTGCCTAAGTTGTTTTTTGTTCTATAAAAGCCAGTGTTATTCCCTTCTTTTTTATGTGCTTGGCTATTTAATGTGGCGTAATTTAATGTGGTGTAATTTATATTTGTGTAATGTTTTTTTAAATTGAATCTCTTTATATGGTCTCAAATTTTCAGGTTTATTAAAAACTATAATAATTTTTACTTTCAGAATAAAGTACTATTCCATTATATTGGCAATATCCCCAAACTTATTTCTCGCAGTATACAGAAGTATCAAATACTTGACATTTATTCAATTTTTGTAGTTTATAAGACTATTTATAAGACTTAAGACTCTTATAATAGTATATAAGACTTTTAAATAAAATAATACATTTTGAAATTTATTGCATACTATAATATTCACTTTTAATTTAAGGCAAAAAGTCAATTATACTAAACTACAAATAATCAATAACTTAATATTTATTTATTAAAAAAAATGTTAATATGTAATAAATTACCAAATTTTAATAAATGTCGGGTATTATACAATTATAGTTTTATTGACAATTAATATATATATATATATATATATATATATATATATATATATTTATATGTATATATTCAGTAGATAAGTATTTTGTATCGACTACATTAAACAAAAAGAATATAACACTTCGGTTATTATATTGTGCTTATTGGAAAATTTATTTGCCACACATTAATAAATAAATTATTTAAAAAATATATGTAGGGTCAGTAGGGTTAATGGGGGGCACTTACCTTAATTTCAAATATATTAAGATATTTTGGGAACAATTAGAGTGATTAAATTTTTGGTATATTTTATGTGATCGAGGAGAGATAATCCTTCAAGAAAGAGACGTTCCACATAGATTTGTGTAAAGCAAGTACTCTATAATTTTTTTTTAATCTTAAGTCAAATGCCCTCATTTGTCCTAATGTACGGAGTAAATGAAGACTGCAATTTGTTTTCCCATTTACCTTACCTATAAAATAAAATGGTTAAATGAAGACAAAAGCTTATCTTTTAATGCATGTAAAAAAATAATAAAATCGATAATTTCTCTCACTAGATTATTCAGAAATTAAACGATACATTGGCAACTAAGTGATTAACTAAATTTAAAACGAACAAATGAAATAAAAACAATACTAATTGTGAGAAATCTTCGACTCTTTACAGGCTTGTTCAATGTCCTTAATAGAAAGGTATACTGTTACAAGATTTTTGCCATCTGGAGATACCTCCATTATAATTGATTCTACCGCTACATTCTCAACCTTTTTCTTTGCTTTAGTTTGTGGAGTTTTATCTTCTTTGCCTGTTTTTCGTTTTTTAACTTTACTTTTTCTTCTTTCTTCCTTTTGACGCAGTCCTTCTAAAACCTCTTCGGAACTTAAAACTTCTCCATATTGAAGTTCCTTAAGCCGTATTTGTCCTTGCTTTGACTGATGTTGGAGTAACCTAACTTTCTACATTCGTCTTTAATTTATTTACGAAGAAATCAATTACATTTCGTTTATGGGCATTATTATTTGACTGGTATGTTTTTTTCAAACTTGTGGTTAATGTGTCCTCGTCAGTCATATGTTTTTTAATGGTAGATTTGTACCTAGCTAACGCAACTTAATCATAATCATACTCTGGAAATTTACTTTGGTCCACTGGCAAAGAAGCTGTCCCAACAAATCCCGGAACGATGATATTCGGAGTTAGATATTTTATTCATAAGTCTTTGATGGCAATAGAAAAACCTTTTTTCGACATTTTGTTCTTATTGATAACACTCAAACATTTTCTCATTTCTGTGAGTAATATTCTATTCCATCATATTTTTAGAGGACTAAAAACAGAAAAATCTAGAGGCTGCAGTCTGTGCGTTAGATGGCTAGGAAGTCGAAATAAAATTATTTGTTTTTTTAGGGCAGCTTGTACAAGTCTTGCACTTATATGACATTTGTGTCCATCAAACATTGAAAATTCTTTTTAAGTAGGCTCCACATTTGGCATTGATCTTTTAACTTATTTCATATGGGGTATAAACTGACCAAAAAACCAATTAAAGAAGACTGGCTCTTCCATATATCCTTTAGGAGTTGCCGAATATATGGTCTCCGGAAAATGTAAAGCACATCCAGTCCATCTTGAAAAATTATGATCTTATATGATCGGCTTATATGATCGTTTCATTCTATTTTTTACTCAGTTCTTGATGTTTTTCATCTTGCATCTACGTATTATATATATATATATATATATATATATATATATATATATATTCTTCTAGCTCTGCTCATAGTGTCTTACTATAAATTTTTTTAAGTATTTGTTCACTGTGTCAGGTCGTGTTTCTGCCACATATGGCATAATTGGTCTGATGACTGTTTTTGCAAATTCTGCCTTTCATTTCTTTCCTGATATTTTTTTTTCTCCATACTGTTTCATTCACGCAACCTGCGGCTTTGTTTGCTCTATTTACTTGATTTTCCACTTCTTTTTTGAGCTTTCCATAGCTTGATAACGTGATATCTAAATACGTAAACTCCATCACTTGCTTTATTATCTGACCTTCTAGCTCCAATTTCCGAAGTGGAAATTTAAACGTCGATAGACTTACTTTAACCTTTAATTGTGGCTTTTCCCATTTTCCGTTCCTATTTAAATAGTAATTACTTACGAAGATCATGGACCGACGCTATATTTATCAGAAGGCAAGTAATGTAAAATGGTTGAATTTGTGATGTACATCGTATACCTTCCGTATTCCGTTATTAGGGAAATGAGAAAAACAAAACTTAATTTGCAATCTGTCACATTAGACTAATTAGTTATTATTGGTTGTATATTGCTTAAAAGAAGAATGAGAAGAATGTTTCAAACATTATTGGGAGTGCCATTAATGGAAGTACAACCCCATTGACTTCTGAGAATGTCGGAAGTATTAATTTGAACAGCATTTACTCTGATTTAAAGTACACATTTGAAAAGTTTGGAGTACAAATATTTCAAACAATTCCATTCCAACAAATTCATATTCATTTAAAAGATGATAGTCCAGGCTGTGAGGCCGCTCCCGTTGGGAAAATGTTTCTGATTCGGTTTCTTCGCGGATTCCGGTTCAAAAATGTCCCCTTTAAACAAATCTGAAGGGTGCCGGGCGAAATTTTTGGGCAGAAATTGTTTAAACAATTTTTTTAAACAAAGTCCAAAAATAATTTTTTTTGATCTGGAAAACGTTTTTTTAGGTTTTTTGTGCCATTTTAAACAAAAAAAGTATTTTGTCATTTTTCTCTAAAGTTCATAGTTTTCGAGTTATAAGCGATTTAAAGTCTGAAAAACGCGAAAATACGCATTTTTGAGGCTTGAAAACACATACGTAAATTATTATTTTTGAGGTTACCAAGTGTCTAAATCAAAGTTTAAACATTCAACTTCAAGATTGTGAAGAGTAATCGGGGCCTATTTTAATTTAGACCGTTGTTTTTTAATTGTTAAGTATGCGCGTACACTCGATTTTTCAGCCGCCGCGGCGCCGCGCGCTACCGTGCGCCTCTATCGTACTTATGCATAGTTTACATATACTTACAAATAATTATTATTTATTGAGTACATATTTATTTATATCAATTGAGTTATAATATAAATTTCGTCTAAAGTCTAATAATAGTTACATAAAATAATTGTACAAAAGATTGTTAAATAACACACTAATATCACTCAGTAATGGTACACAGTTGACATGATTTTTCTTGCAGTTGCAAGCATTAGTTTTGCAAGTCTTTTTGCATTTGCACGGTTTCCCAACCCACCACTATCAGACATATAATATCCATATTGTGTAAAATCGAGAGTATGATAGCGGGAATATATGGCATTTCGCTAAATATATGTTTTAGCAAAAGCTCTTAACAAGTGTTGGTAAAGTGCGTAGGTGCTAGATTAAATTAAATTTTTCAGTCACACTGTCTTTTCGTCGAAGAGCAGCATTTTGTATTGTTATGTAAAAATCTACTTTAGGTTTTTGCACTAACTTAATATTGTTGATGTTATTACAAAAAATACAAACTAAATTTTCTTCGGTAAGTTTTCATTTAAGAAGAGGTACGGAAAAAGACATTTTAAATCCATTCACAATTTTTTTAATAACACATTAATAATATAATACCCTTTTCATGGGCATTAAACAATAGTCTTCCTAATGATCGTTTAAGTAATAACAAATCAAGTATGAGCGCGCGATTGTTAAACAGGTAAAAACTTGCATTTTTGCGATAGTATATTGTTTTTAAACACCGCGCAATTTAAAATTAAGTTTACTAATATTAATATTTACTGCATTGTATTATTTAAATAATAATTTAAAAATATTATTTACAATTGATATAAATAAATATATACTCAATAAATAATAATTATATTGTTCAAATTTTGAAGAAAAAAAACTATATACGGTTATTACATTGCGATGACTGATTTATTTAATTAGCCCAATGACAATAATTAATACCTACATAAATAAATTATGGAAAAAACTATGTTAATAAACTTCAAGGATTTGTTCGGGTTTTTTTTGCGTAAGTGTACATGTAAACTATGCATAAGTACTATAGAAGCGCACTATAGCGCGGCGCCGCGCCGCCGCGGCTGAAAAATCGAGTGTACGCGCATATTTAACAATTAAAAAACAACGGTCTAAATTAAAATAAGCCCCGATTACTCTTCATTATCTTGAAGTTGAATGTTTAAACTTCAATTTAGATACTTGGTAACCTCAAAAATAATAATTTACATATGTGTTTTCAAGCCTCAAAAATGCGTATTTTCGCGTTTTTCAGACTTTAAATCGCTTATAACTCGAAAACTATCAACTTTAGGGAAAAATGACATGAGACCTTTTTTATTTAAAATGACCCAAAAAACCTAAAAAACGTTTTTCAGATTAAAAAAATATTTTTGGAATTTGTTTAAAAAAATTGTTTAAACAATTTCTGCCCAAAAATTTCGCCCGGCACCCTTCAGATTTGTTTAAAGGGGACATTTTTGAACCGGAATCCGCGAAGAAACCGAATCAGAAACATTTTCCCAACGGGAGCGGCCTCACAGCCTGGACTATGAAGATTTCCAAATATTTGAATAAAGCTTTTGAAATATTTGTTAATAATATTTTATTCATATTTTATTTATTTGACATTAAAAGTTATGTATTCCTGTCAGGTCAGATGAATATTTAAAACTGTTGATGTTGCCATGCTAACTTTGAAACACGCGCGTTTTTGAAAGTTAAATTTAAACACGCTACAGAGTACTTTAAATAAGCAAAATGGGGTACCAATAAAAAAAATATTTAAGACCATTAATTATATCTAGACTTTTATTGGTTACATTTAAACATTTGACATGTGTATCATGAAATCACTGAAATTTCCATTTTAGCGTTGTTCAGCATTCTCATAAACAGCTTAAAATAAAACCTTTTTTGCAGATCATAAATGTCATGAACATTTTTTCGATTGTCGAAATGGGAGATGTATAAGCGAAGCATTCGTATGTGATGGTGAAAATGATTGTAATAACTTTTTGGATGAAAAAGACTGTAAGGATAAAACGGTAAGTTAACTAATAATGCTGTCTCTAACAGTAAATTAAATAATAAATATTATAAAATGCAAAAGAAGGACTTAAGCGTGCATTCGTAACTGTTAATGTACTGAAAGTCGCTGCTTGTGGGAGTATCTAGGATATTTTTAAGGACAGTTATAGTAATTATAGTCAGATAGTATTTTTTGAGCTTTTATCATCATAAGTTGCTCGACAATCCGTTGTGGATCTTGGCTTGCTTAAAAAGAAGTAGCCACTTCTGTAGGTTCCTGGCAACTTCCTTCATCTTCTGACCCTTAGAATCTATAGGTCTTCTTCCACATCATTAATCCATCTCCTTCGTGGTCGTCCTCTGCTTTTTGTGCCCTCTGATTTTAAAAATGTTAATCTCTTTGTGTATGTCATCTGACATCCTAGCAATGGATCTAGCCCATCTAAGTCTCTGAACTTTAACGAATTTCTCAATATGTGGATCGGTGTATAACTGATATAGTTCAAAGTTGTATCTTCAACTCCATAGCCCATTTTTATTTATGGCCCCAAAAATCTTTCTAAGAATTTTTGCGTCAAGTATACTAAGAAGTCTCATCATTTTGAGATAAGGTCTAGGTTTAAACACCATATATCAAAACCGGTCTTATTAAGGTCTTGCGTATATTGAACTTTACTGCAATAGTTAAATTGTAATTTTGCTAGGAGAGTTTTGGGGTAGTTCTGATTTTTTCATTACATATGTTTTTTGAAGTGCTTAATACGAATCTGGGGTTTGCGGACAAAATTTCGTGACGCTACATTAAAAAAAAAAAAAAAACAGAATAAACCGTTTTTTTTCGGGTTTTTTTGTTTAAAACTCGAAAACTATCAACTTTTGGTAAATGGTCTGTTTACAGAAATTGAAGTACTTGAAATTTTCTACAAATACCAGTATTTAGTTTTTTTTTTCAGATGAATCGTTCGGTTTCTAGTGCGAGTTGAGAATTGTAAATTTTTAGCAATTTATGCAAAACCCACTTTTTACATTTCAATATTTAATTTTTATGGATGCTGTCATTTGATAAATGTCACCTGGTTTTCCACACAAGTAATTAAAAAGAAAAAAGGCAAAAATTATGCAAATTCAGTAGGTAGGTAGAACTCGTAACAAAATAAAACTTAAAATCTCGTTACTTATGATCATATATTATTATGATTATAAATTATAATATGCAAAATTTATATGAGCCGTTGTCTTTTGGAAGACCCTGGCTGAGGTTTTTCGATAACGATGAGTCCTGGTTCTGTTTGTTCTGGAAAATAAAAGTTTAAGGTTAAGTCATTTATCAAGAAGAGATACAGATTGCAAAATAGATTGTGAGAATAAACATACCTTCCGCATCGTACTGAGGTTCTTCGATGGCATGGGGTCCTGGCTCAGGGTCTGGTTGCTCCATCGTCAGCGTCGAGAGTCGTTCTCCTGGAAAATAAAAAGAGGAGAGACACATATCATATATCAAGCAGAGATGAATGACTACAAAATAACTTGTCAGATTCAACATACCTCTCTCTCTTTCTTCAGTTTCTTCTACGTCTATATCAGAGCTGTCTTCTGGGGGCTCAAAATTGTTACACAGTCCTTCGCATGATGCGCATATTGGGGAACAAAGGAGTCCCGCCTTCATGCATTCACAATTGCGTTGACAGCCCTTTTTACATTTACATGAAATGTACCGGAGTATTGAGTTTGGTGCAGGGTATAAAGTAGTTGGTACTCGCAGTACTACTAGTTTTTGCCATCCCCACTCTCTTGGGTCTTTTTGTTGCTCGTTAGGTGTGGCTTGGCCGAATAACCACTGCTGCACCTGATAATAAACTCTCAGTGAATGTTCTCGTGCAGCAGCTTCAGTTGAGGGCAATGAGGAAATGTTGGTCTTATTTTTGAATGATGAAGATACGTATTGTTTGTATCTTAAATCGTTTAGTTTTGTCTCTTTTTTCCATATAGAACCGCGAGAAACATGTTTCCTGCTTTGAATCTTATCTTGACTTGAATTAGGGTCTTTGAAAGCTTCAGTTACCGATTGCAAATCTTTGTTCTTCTGCAGGACTTTAACAAATTTCAGTATTCCTTGATTAAATAATGCAGAAGTAGTATCACAACCACTCGTCTCATGCAGGAATAAAATATGATTCAATATGATTTTCTCAGCAGCCAGATGAGGGTTGTAGAGGCTTTGTGAAACCTTTTCTTTTCCTGGCTTAAAAAAATACATTTTTTATATCAGGGCTACAAAGGCCAATCAAAATGACAGTAGGTCAATATCTTCCCCCACCACTGTCACATGTTTGTGCGCTACGTACACACATACTACAACGTCTACAACAGTTTAGCACATTGTCGTTTGGAATGTAAAGCGGCTTTAACTGCTTTTTAACTGAGTTATTTTGATTTTTTGCAATCTAGCTATAATATTTGAGTCCAAACGTGAATTATCCGTGTGACTCGGTTTTTATTTTAATTAACTTAAATACTAGGGGAAATTAACTGAAAACCTTTCAATACAAATCTAAAAAGTGGGTTTTGCAGTCACACCGGTACAAATTGCCAATTTTCAACTTGCACTTGAGACCGAACGGTTCGTCTGTACAATAACCAAAATAGTGACATTTGTACAGAACTTTAAGTACTTTAATTTCTGTAAACAGACCATTTACTAAAAGTTAACAGTTTTCGAGTTTTAAGCAAAAAAACCGGAAAAAAAGCAAAAAAAAAACCGATTTTTTTCTCGTTTTTTAAATGTTGCGTCACGAAATTTTGTCCGCAAACGTCAGATTCAGATTTAGCACCCTAAAACACATATGGAGTGAAAAAATCAGAACTTCCCCAAAACTTTGCTACTAGTATCACTTTACAGTACAAATTTACTGAATTACAAGTTTTATAGTTTTATTTTTTAAATGTTTCTGGATACCCTGAACCGTTCTGTTTGCTATTGCTATGCATCTTTTTATTTCGTCGCTTTTTGTGTTTGTTGCGTTTAGTAGCGATCCAAAATATTAGAATTCTTTTTGTTCAAAGGTATGGTTGTTAATTTGAATTCTCTGTTGGATATTTCGGGGGTTTTTAGAAACCAACATATATTTGGTTTTTTCCTTGTTTATTACAAGTCCTAATTCACTTGCCGCGTCCGCACGCCTTATAAAACACTGTACCATATCTCATACTTCTGCCCACTATAACTTTATCGTCAGGGAATACGAGAATTTGCGTCGATCTTTTAAAAATAGTTGATTCATTCTAATATTTAATTATCTGATTGCCTTTACCAAGACAATATTAAAGAGGAGACACGCCAGCGTTCTAACGCATGGGCTTACGTTTTGCATTGTTAGTTGGGTCAACTTAACTAACTTAGGTGGGATCCCAAAGTCTATCATTGCATCATGTAGAATTTCACCGTTAGTGTCATTACAAATTTTTAATCATGGTTTAAATTCGGAGAATTTGCGCCGATCTATTAACCCTGAACTACTATCGTGGGGTCAAATTTGACCCCAGGACTTGAAATTTCATGCGCCACTGGTAGACAGTTTGGCGAACGACCTTGTTATTCTATGTATTCTCCCAATTAAGTACGTAGTTTAGCATGCCACTTAGTAGCAAACGATCAGTGGGATAGTGCACACGTGATGCTGAGTTCCGGTCGGATTTGACCCCACCATAGTAGTTACGTTATTATTATTTAAGATAATACATTAAAATGGCTTTAAGAATAAGCGGAAGTACGGTGACAAGTGAAAATGTTTTTGACTTTCTCGAATCTCTGGAGGAACCAACCGAAAATATTGACACTTAAAGTGACTCTAATAACAGTGATACTGACACTGAAAGTGAACATTCGGTTCACGACACAGATTCAGAAATTGACGTAAGTGACTTATCAAGTGACGAATGTGAAACAGCATCTAATAATGAAACCAATTTTTACTATGGACAGAACAGATATAAGTGGGCTAAAAATGCTCCGGCCCATCAACAATTCGGGCACAGAACATTATTACACACCTTCCTGGTCTTCGTGGACCTGCCTAAGAAACAAAACCATCCAGTTCCCTTGAATCCTGGTCACTTCTTATATCTCCTGACATGTTGGCCTCTCTTCTAGAGTACACAAATAAAAAAATTACCGAGCTCAGTGTAAATTATGGGGATACATGTACATTTGTCGATCATCTAAACGAAGGTGAACTTAAGGCTTTTTTGGGTCTTTTATACCTTTCAGGTGTACTAAAGTCTAATCATGAGAATGTCGATTCATTATTTTCGACAAGTGTTTTAGGAAGGCCAATTTTTCGTGCTACAATGTCAAAAGAACGCTTTTTATTTCTTCTCACAGCAATAAGATTTGACAATCATGAAATAAGAGAGCAAAAGAAGGCCAATCGAGATCGACTTGCAGCAGTGTCCTATTTATTTAAATGTTTCGTATCTAACAGTACAGCAAACTACACCTGTTCCGAATATGTTACAGAGGACGAGATGTTGGTTGGGTTTAGAGGTAGATGCCCTTTCAGAATGTACATGAAAGCCAAACCAGTCAAGTACGGCATCAAGATCATGTGTTTATGTGACGTAAAAACACATTATTTGGTAAATGCTTTTATGTATACGGGTAAAACAAATGATCCTAATGCCCAAAAGCTATCCATACCTACAAGATCAGTACTTGCTTTAGTGGAACCAATTGCCACTAGTAACCGAAATGTCACTGGTGATAATTGGTTCACCTCAATAGAGCTAGTTGATGAACTAAAAAAACTTCGAGTTATCTATGTAGGTACAATGCGTAAAAATAAGAGAGAAATTCCTCCACAATTTCAACCAAATAAAAATTACGAAGTTGATAAGTGTTTATTTGGTTTTACACGAGACAATACAATCGTATCATATATCCCTAAAAAAAAATAAAAGTGTAATTATGTTGTCGTCTATGCATCACGACAAATCTGTTGACCAGGAAAGCTAAAAACCT